TAAACATGTTCCTTTAAATATATATAAAAATAAAATGAAATGAAAGTGCTTCTGTGCCAGCAGCTATGCAAGCTAAAACAACAGATGTCTGCTGTACTGTGCAGAAGTTCATGAATTTCAATGTACCCATGTTGACATGTGGCATGCTCTTGAATTGAGACAATTCTGTGCAAACAAAAGCAACGCTACTGTCAGTTCCCTGATCATGGAATATAACATGAAACTTGAAACATCTAGGTGCTAGGAGAAATAACTGGTGTTACCCACCTGAAATTCAACCTTAACATATGTTTCCTTTAAGCTCCATAACTCTTGGGACTGCATTGGACAGATGAGTACATGACAGAACAAGAAGAATCCAAAAGACTGTAGGAGTTCACCAATATTTGAGAGACGAAAGACATTATTCTAAAACTAGGTGGATAACATTTGGTCCCAAGGGGTGAAATGGAACCCAAAGTGCCTCTTGGGCCCATAAGTACAGTACACCCACATTTTAATTTTTTTAAATAAAAGATAATTATTATCTCAGTCCTCTCTGGGTGGTGTGGAGTTGACTTTGCCATATTTTGAGAAGTCCCAGCACCCTTAGAAGCTTGACAAACCCTAATGATATGTGTCACTAATTTATTGGTTCAGTAAAAGAGCAAAACCCTGGAGAATAGAAATCATAGGAACTGATACAGCTCCCCTAATCCAGTGAGTTTCATTTGTGGCCCATGGATCTCCAGAGATTTCCCAATACCAACACAGGGAACCCTTTTCTTCTCAAATGTACCAGGTTATGAATGTCATAATAAAGGTAGTGATGCAAAGAAAAATTATGCATAATGGTCTGAATGGGGACTTAATTGGGGAGATGCTACAAAAAAATATTGGCGAATGAAGGGATCATCCCAATACAGCATGACGTCTGAATGATCCCTATCCCAATTTTAAAAGCTTCCTTGTAGCGATTTAAAGCTCGCTGCAAATGCATCAAGGCCATAGTCAGGGACAAGATTGTTAAGCTTCAAGAAAAGAGGTCTTATCACTAGATGCATCATTCTAATGAGATGTTGGCCGTATGTCAACTCAAAGAGGCACTTGGGAAATATGAGTTCCTAGAGCTCCTGAGACAACTCTTCACGGAAAATGGAAGCATTTTTCTCACAACCCACAACTCAAAAGTCATGTCCCTTCTAGAAAAAATGCTGAAACTGTTCACCAAGCAGCATATATTGAATTTGCCTCAGTGAATGCACCTTTCCCGGGAAGGACTGGAGGAGCAGATCCTATGAAAACATACCAGAATTCTACTAAACAATTATACAAATAGCAAATAAATGTCATGAAATAAGACTGATATCTAAAAAGTATGTGCAAAGCTTTCTGAAAGAGAAGGTAAACAGTAAGGATATATAGGACAGCAAACTGCAGTGAGGAGGGCAGGTGTTCACAAATGCACCACAATACATCCCACATCTAATGAAGTGTTCAAGGAAGAATGAATTTGGCTCTAGAAGAAATATTAGTTGTCCCAGTACATATCTATCAAACACTGAGATGTATTTGTGTAGTGAACAAAGAGAAATATGAAGGTATGTTTGATTTGGAATTGATGCATCTGAAGACAAAAATAATTCTTAGGAAGAGTCATACTGATAAACTGTATTTAGAATGCAACATTTGTGAGTACTATATGTTGTGTTTATCTATGAAATTTGTATTTAATCTTTGAAAACAGATACATTCAGTTATGAATGAATTGAGTTAGCCAACCAAATTAAGATTTGTTTAGGTATTGAGAGAGTACTTAGTTTAAATGTTATTTAAACTTAAACTATGGATTAACCACTGGAAACAAGCTGTAATTTAATCATTTGTTCTTAGGTTTAAATAGGAGCTTAAATTTATCCACAGTTTTTTTAATGTAATGAGATAATTTAAGTGGGATTAATTTCAAATTCTAACTTAAACCTAAGAAACAAGACCAAAGAAGTAGAATTGATGGCTTCAGAATTTCCCCTGCTGCTGTTGTACCTCATCCCTCTGACAGAGGCAGCAGAATTTGAGAAATAAAGACTGCAAGCACACCAATAAGAATGCAATTTATATGTTTGAATAGCTTTTGTAACTAAAGAATGACATACCGTTTTAAAATCAAAACTAAATAAAAAATCAAGAACATGACCTACTCAACTTCCTTCTTATAGGACTGCTTTGCATTCATAGTGCTTTTATTTAAAATTGGATCATTGTTCATTTTATGCAGTGTTTGGAATATAAGCCTTTTGGTATTTTAGGAAACTTATTTTCAGTGAAATTTGCATCACAGTTTGGGGATCACCTAGCTATGTTATGTGTGAAATTTCATTTTAAATGTATACGTAGTAATTGCAGCTAAATGCACACACAAATTATCTCCATCAATCCCAGTTCCTTTTCTCTCCCCATGGCAGACTGTAGCATTCCTATCATTATTTCCTTTATTTAACAAGAATCCTGTTGAAATCCATCAACCAGCTTTTTCTTATGTTCACTCACATACACACATGCACACAAGGAGGGACACAAACAGAGATGTTAAATCTTTGTATGCTTTTTAGAACAATCCACCATTCCAAGAAAGTGAACTGAGTAAGTTTAACATGATATGGCCATGGATTGTGTAACAGCTTCCATTATAAGAGAACTTATGCTGTCATATTAACGCTGCAAATTATATATTGCTCATAATAACATGTCTTTTTTTTTGTTGTTTGATAAATGTGTGCCCCAAAGTCTACCTTACACCACTATTCCAGCATCTGTTCTGGTTTACTGTCAAGTTCTAAGCACAATTCTTTGAATCATTTGTAACATAGAAAGTTGGTTTTAACTTTTGCAGCCTACCTAAGTCTACAAGTCTGTGTCCAATCATGTTTTACCATATAGATTTCTCAGGTCAGTCATAAATACCTTCTTCATTTTGGAAATTCATGGATCTCCAGGTTGATCTGTGGGGGAAAGAATTCTATCTAAACCCCTAGAATGCTGCTACAAGTCAATGTTAGCAGTATTAGACTATATTGATCAGAAGGTGGGTTTGTGCTCAGTACCTCTCTCAAACTTAGACATAATTGTTCATATTAAGAGTGTAATAAATACTTCCAGATTTTCCTCATCCTTTATTTAAAAATATGTTGAAAAGTCTCCCCATCATTGCAAGTTGTTTTACTCCTGCACCAGAGGAAAAAAAACACTCATTTTTGTCATTACGTAGCAGTGTTACGGGTGTGTGTGCAGATTTTGTACAAAAATATCCTTATACTGTATCTGGAAGAAGAAAATCTTGTATTTTGTGTTTTAAATCTTTTCTTTTCATAAAAGTCTTTTGCTTATTTGAGCAAAGAACAATTCCATTAATTTGCAAAGGAGTCCCAAAATGGAGGGGGGAGATACAAAAATTCTTCTAATCCTGTCCACTGGGAAGACTATGTTTTAAATTTTTCATTGTCACATTCAAGAACAAAATAGGCAAGTATTTATATCCCTAGTTGAAGCAAACATGTATTTTCTGATATGTTAAAAATATGTTGAGCATGTTTCTGCTTTACATTAATATACCTGACCGTAACAATTTGGATAGGTATTGTGTTAGAAAAACAAAGCATGTACCCCGTTTCCCTGAAAATCTATGAAATAAGCCTTAGTATGATTTTTTAGGATGCTTGTAATATAAGCCCTACCCCAGAAATAAGCCCCTATTAAGTGAAACCCTGCCCCCCCACCATTGTTCTGCAACCGGAATAAAATAGCATGACTGTATTTGAATAAATGTAGATTGTTGTACATGAAAAAAAAAATCCTCTGAAAATAAGCCCTAATATGTTTTTGGAGCAAAAATTAATATAAGACTCTGTCTTATTTTCAGGGAAACACGGTATTATTCAGTGATGAATAAATACAAATACAGGAATAGCACCCAGGTTCGGTGAAGACCAGTCATTCACATTTCTTCTAATCAGACCATATATTTATGGTCTGGTACATTTGTGAGAGTGTTAAGGGCCATAACTTAAGGGCCCAACAGACAGATAGAGAGATAGAGATAGATTTGTGTGTGTGTGTCATACAACATAGATTAATGGGCAGAACTGCATTTTATTTGACATTCATATGTTCCACTTTCTTTGGGCGAGGTATTGTTCTGTGGATTGCAGTCTAGGAGTCTGATCCACAAAGCAGAATACTTAGAATTAGGCAAGTATTGTTGTGTGGATTTGATGACTATGGCCTGATTTCTTTGTTCACTTTGGATGTAATAAACTCTAATGAGATCATTTTGCTTTGTTAGTTTCATGTCATGAGCATTTATTGTGAATGAGCTCTATCACAGGAACAGTTAGTCTTTACCACCTTGGAAGAAAATTTGAGTTCTAACAAATCCTGATGTGATAAATACTAGCTGTCACCATGTAGGGGTGCATTCATAAAATAATATTCACCACATGGAGTTGATGAGGTAGAGCTTTATCTTGTGAGATCTTTATCACATCTGAGGTGAATGTAAGAATTTGTTCTAAACTATTAATCCAGCTACCCTACTTTGGAGAGCAGACTGCATGATAATCTTTTAGGTAGAAAGAATGTGAAGTAACACTGAGCTACAGTTTTGATCAAGAACATTCATGATCATCACATTTTTCTAGTAATGCATACTTTTTGTATATAGGTATATTCTGTATTTTCAAATGTAGGGGTGGTGGAATTGTTAATCCCTGTCCCCATCTAACTGAAGTGTCAAAGAAAACATTAATACAAAAAATATTGCTTCTGTGGAAAAGAGGATTGTTGTTTACATAGTTTCATAAAAGAAAGAAAACTAGTATACTTACATTAAAACTGTTTCCAGCAGTCCTTATATATGGAAAAGGATATATAGAATTATTTTACCTTATGTAAAATTCTATTTTAGGATAGTAAAACTTTTCGAATGTATAATTTGCTGTTCCTTTTCCCTTGTGCTTTGTTTGCAGAGCATCATAGCATTGCCTCTCTTCATGAAGGAAACTGGCTTCTGGGGAACATCAATCAAACTGGCTATTTTAGGGTTAACTATGACATTAGAAATTGGAGACTGCTAATTGACCAACTAATGAGAAACCATAAGGTAAGCTCATTTGATTATATTGCCTGAAATTTGTCCTATGTATGGAAGCCCTGCTGCTTTTATCATACTGAAGTGTTCTCTTTTTTTTCTCATTTGCCCTCATAGGTAATCTCTGTCAGTAATCGTGCAGGTTTGATCGATGATGCATTCAATTTAGCCAGGTATGTTTTTCTGTAGATAATCTTGTCTAATATAAATTCCTGCAGCCCTCAACTGTTGCCTGCATTGTGTGTATCTGCATGCTTTGAGGCTGAAGCTATTTAAAAACTGTTTCAAATTCCATCTTGCTTTCCTCAGTTTTCTGTCTTTTCCTGATATGGAGCATAAACACTGTCTGCAGCACTTTTCGTCATTGATAAAAGCCTGTGGGTATTTCCAAATGTAGATGTTTGATTAATTTTCCTTTAAAGTCAATTTAATATATTGGATATTAATAATCTGTTCCCATTTTACAAAATATATCCTTTCCACCATGATCCTTTTGTAATATATTATTTCAAAAGTTAAGACTGTTCATGCTTCAGAATTTTGGTCTGTTCAAGTATATTGTTATTCAGACCAGAGTAGTATATGTGCACTTGCAGGAGTGTAAAGCCATTTTAGAGTTAATGTTTTTGTGCATTATTATCATCATGACTTCTGCTGCTACCACTATGGAAATAAATGACTATCACAAGGTTGGTGTTAGACACTCAAGGGTTCAGAAGTCTACTGAGAAAACACAAAGGAAATACAATGAAAAGACACACACACGCACACACACGCACACACACGCGCACACACACACACACACACACACACACACACACACACACACACACACAAGAGGAAAGGAGCTAGGGAAAACATAGAAGACTTACCATCTCAGCAAACAGAGAAGTACCCGCGCGCGCGAACGGCGTCTGTTCGCGCCGTTGAGCTCCGCGCGCCTCTTTTGCTCCCCCGGCCTGGGATGACGTGGCCGACAACAGGGGCCACGTGGTTATAGCCGGTCAGGAGGCTATAAAACAGCGCTTGTCTGGGTCGTCTTTCTCTTTCGCTTTTGGCACCCACCCGCCCAACCCTTTTTTCTAGTGTGATTTTGGTCGCCTGTTTTTTGGGGCCGGATAGGAATTTTTGACCTCCATCCTGATTGGCTGGTGGATGGGGGGATTTTTCGCCTATCCCACACTGGAAAGGGGTTTTTTGTTTGGGCAAATTTTGATGGTGGATCTTTATAATCGGTCACACGGGCGGGTAGTGCGGGAATAACTGGTCACGGTGTCTCCCTTTGGTAATTATTAAAAATTAACAACGCCCCAGTCCTGACGGTTTCTGCGGATCGTGCGATTACAGGACCGAAGGCGACTGAGGTGCTTGCACACTTTCGAACCAAAGGTCATCAAATGCGATGGCTAGAGGTTCGGGGTGTTATTAGGCCTTAGAGGTTCCTTCTGTCATCGGATGGCTGGAACCTGGGGCCTGGGACTCGCCCATTGACTTATAAGGAAATATTTGGAGTTATTTCCCCGCACTACCGCAGGCCCCCTCAAGTTTGGAACTGGTTCTCTACCTGGTTGAATTATTTTAGTATTAATAAAGTGTGGCCCATATTTAAATCCAAGTTGGTTGTCGGTGTCGTTATTTCCGGGCTTGGGGAGCAAACAAGTATGCAAGCATCTATAAACCCTCACTAATATTTCTCATCCCAGTATTGATACTGGAGGTCAACATCATGAAAATGTAAGAGCGTCCCTCCTGGATCAGGCCAAAGGTTCATTCAATTTAGCATACAATTTCCAATGGTTTTTAGTCAGGGTGTGATGAGATGAGCATATAGCTTGCTATTTTGTTCATTTTTGGTGTGTTTTCTGGTGACCAAATTTGTTTTCAATAATGAGCTGTTCCACTCCTTTCTGGCATAGTGCTAGGGCTGCAATTCTTTTGGTGCAGTTGGGATCATTCCTGCTTATCCTGTGATTGCTTAATTCACTCACAAATAGATCTATGGGCAGCATTCCCCTTGGTGGCAACCCTCTGATGTATGCAGTGGATTTTGACATATGAAAGGATGGCACAGAAACCCTATCCTCTGTTGTTCTCTTCTCACTTTTTTTAGTCTTATCCTAAATGATGCAGTTTCAGAGATAAAGGAGCATTCATGTTAGGTTAATGTGTTGCCATAGCTCTGTGCAACTTACTAAATTAAACAACAACAAAAATGAAGTTGCCATGGCCTGTGGAATGACAACTGAGAAAAGGATGGGGAAGGTGCAATCTGAAATGCTGTCTGGCTCTTTCTCATAGGAGATGAAATATCTCCTATGTGAATGGAAAAATTGCTCCAGTGCAAGGTAAAATAGGTCACTGTGAAGCTAAGATTTTTTTAAATATGATGCTGGTCGCTCCTAATTGCTCAGTCTAGTCATGCCTTCAGTTGTCTTGGGATAACTCAAGCAGGAGTGAAGGCAATACACCTTTTCACACTGTTGTTGGCCTTCATGTGTGTGACAGAATATTGCCTCTGAAACTGGAGATTCTCCATAATTTTCGTATCTCATGACTACAGTATTGATCTCTGTATCTGTGTGGTCTGCTTTAAATACCATTGAAAGTGTTGAATGAGCTTTATGTTTTTCAGTAGCAATTCCTGTATATCACTTCTGTGTTGTGTGAAGAACTTCCTCTTTCCTGTTTTGAATTTCCTGCCAGATGTGATTTTATAGGAGGAATTTTAAATTTTTGTGAGTAGAAACAATTTTTTTTCACTGCCCAGTCATCCTGTAGTTCAGCTGGAAATTATTCTTCATTTAATTCTTTTGCATGAGAATGGAAATTTCAGATTTCTTCTCTGTGGACGAGATTGTGGAGAGTTTGGCCAGATGTTTCTCATATCAGCACCCCCTCTTTTCTGGGAAAAAATATTTATTTATTTATTTATTATTGTATTCTATTTTATTTCTATCCCGCCCATCTAGACCAAGTGTCTACTCTGGGCGATTTACAAATTTAAAAACAATAAAACCAAAAACATATTATAGGTCCAAAATGGTGACATATAAAAAATTAAGATATGGCTTGAGGGAAAGCCTTCCCAAATAGCCAGGTTTAAGTTTATTCCTGAAAACACCCAGAGAGGGAGTCAGGCGAATCTCTACTGGCAAGTGGTACAGAGACAAGGGGCCACTGCTGAGAAGGCCCTGTTCCACATTCTTTCCTTCAGGACCTGCCTCAGCGTTAGGCCCCTCAGCCACCCAGCCTCTGGAGGAACTGGTACCCAGCCTGGCTGGAACAAGTGACTCTGGAGGAACTGGTTGGGAGAAGGCGCTCTGCCAGATATTGAGGTCCTAAACCGTTTAGGGCTTTATATGTAATCGTAAGAACTTTGAAATCAATACAGAAATGAATGGGCAACCAATACAAGGTGGCCAGAGTGGGGGAAATATGTTGGTACCTTTTCACCCTTGTAAGAAGTCTGGCTGCCACATTTTGTACCATCTGAAGTTTCTGTGTCAGTCTCAAAGGCAGCCCCACATGGAGCACATTACAGTAGTCTAGTCTTGAGACTGTGAGCACATGGACCAAAGTGGTGAGTGCCCCCACATCAAGATAGGGATTATATTTTTGATCAAAAAAAGGATTGGGAAAAATGCTGATTATGAAAGAAAGTGCAGTCCATTCACTCTCATGCAGAAAAGGAACAAAAATCTCACAGTAGCTGATCTGTTCTCTAAGTTGTCTGATGTATCAAACCATCCTTTTTCATCAAGAATGAGAACATTTGTGAGTATTCATTACATGTTTACTTCACAGCATGTATGGTTTCATAAATCTCATCATATCTCCCTCTAGTCATCATTTTTCTGTCTTAAAAGCCATAAACACTTTTGCCTTTCCACAACTATCCTAATAATTCTGATGACTCGTCTGTATACATAGCTGTTTTCCATCCACTGTTGTAGTCCTGTTCCTCCCTCATTTAGCATTTTCCAAATCTATTCTTCAATTACCAAATGGACATAGCTAGGGTATAGCATGTTAGAATTGATGCATTAATGTTAAATTCTTTACTTTTTTTGGACAAACAGAAAAGTGCTGTCAGAATATAGTGTTTAAAAATAATATTTGAAAAATAACATTAATGGGTATATCAGACAAAAACAAAACAGAAGGGAAACGAAAATGAACAAGTGTTTTATTCGTTAAAAAAACACGAGCTGGTAAGCCTTCTATAAAGGGCATGTTACCCAATTTTGCCTATACTTCCCTTTCAAAGATAGAGTTATGCTAGATAGCCTAACCTTTGCCATATAAAGGTATCTGGAGTACAATACACATAAATCCTACTTAGCCCAGCCAACAATCTATAGTATTTTGAGGTCTTCTGGCATTTGTAGTTCAAGACCATCTGGAAACCATAATGTTATTTAAAAGAAAGCCAGAAATCTGCAGCCTCTGTGTAAGATGAAGCTTCTTTTTTCTGTAACTACAGAAGTACTAGACTGGATTACGGCCCCTCATGTTTACATCTGTCTCATTCATTCCTCTTGGCTTCATGGACTCTATTTCTTTTTTTATGTTCATCTCTTTTTTTCTGCTTCATTCCTAGAGCCAGATTGCCACCATCCTGTGAGATGACCAGTTCAATAGAGGCTGACCATTCTTTTCCATTCCACAAAAAGACCTGTGGGGGAGGTCATCTCATCTTTATCTCGTGCATAGGATGTTGGCTTGGGGTTTTGTTCCCAATAACATAATTTTTCAGATGTCATCCCTGAGCGCCTGAAGCCCCTTAAAAAAAAAAAAGTTGTTGGACAGTCATGTTGAACTAATTTGGGGGCAATAAGGAATTGATCTCAGGAGCTACCTTAGATGAGGTGCGCAGGATTTGAGCCATCTTTTAACCAGTCCTGTACGTTCAGGCAAAGATTCTTACATTGTTCTACTAAAGGAATCTAACTCAGCATAGATTCAGTTGGCTCTTTATAGAGCAAAGATTCCCAGGGGACTGTCCTTAACTCCGACTATAATTCCTAGAGATCCTGTCATAGGTCCTTAAGTATGTTAATTAAGGCTTCTAGGTGTTATTGTCCAAATATGTTTCTAGGGACATCTACTGTAGATGTAGGTTTGAAAGGGAGATATAGGTGTTTTTCCTCTTGGGGGGAGAGAGTGTGGACTG